GGGATGACTCAAATTTGGACTTACAACTCCATCCTTTACCATTTAGCAGGCCTTTATTTATTTATTTATTTTCGTCTTCCGAGAAATATGTTCAACTTACTCATCATGGAATCTATTTTATCAGGATTCAACTGAGTATGCTTACTGGTTTACTTGATTCTTTTCTATTATGAATTTGTTCAGATAAACTCCTTATACTAATCCTGCATTAGGATCTGGCGATAAATTTAAACTTGATCCAGTTTTCTTACAGGTATACTATTTTGAACTTTAAGCCTGACCCATTTATATTCAAGTCAAAGTGAACATTGGTTCCAAATCTTTGACCAAAATATGGGCTCAAATATATGTTTGATTGGAATAAGATTAGAAGATAACTATTAATTTTCTTGGATTTATATGAAAAAGAATCAACTGTGCTGACTAATTGCTGATCTTGTTGATGGCATTTTTTAGAACTGTTTGCTTATACTTGATAGTTATCATTTAGTGTAAGCTGCATGTGCATTGGTTATTTATGTTATATTGTTTCATCAGTGCCGGTGTTTGCTTGCAGACCAGCTATAGTTTGGGCAACATGGGATCTTATTGCCATGGTGGAAAATGGAAAATATGATGGACCACCAACACACGCAGTGAACTTTGTATGGAATAATGGGTCCCGGGAGGTATTATCTTTTTGTATCTGAAGATAGTTCTTGTGCTTCTTTTTTATATTAATGTATAAAAGGTTGAATGGTGTGTTAAGTGTTAAATCAATGCCGTACCTTTTTTTAATATAAAAAATTGATATGCTTACTCAAACATCTTAATTTAGTGACTACTTATTATTTCATTATTGTAGGGAGAGGAGGTATATTTGGTTGGTGATTTCACAGGCAATTGGAAAGATTCTGTCAAGGCAGAGCACAAAGGCGGTTCGAAATATGAAGTTGAACTTAGACTTCGGCATGGAAAGTATGCCTTTTATTTCATTTCTTTTATCTGCATTAGTTAACGCTTGGTGGAATTTTTATTGGATCTCTTTTTGTTTTACTATAGAACTGCGTAGTTATTAAATTGACTGTGGTCATACTTAACACTGTTTATTCCTCTACTTCGCTAGCCACAACTTCTTGTGAAGTCTTTTTTTTTTTTACATAAAATTTATTTGACACTATGTTAGTGATCAACTTGGTTAGATTGTAAAATAACTGTTTGGAAGACTTGTAGACTCAGTTCTGATTGTCATTAACTATCTTTATGAGAGAAAGCTTCCTCACGGGTGAGCATAGATTAGAATTTTTTTATTTAGAAGTGTCATGCTAATCATGCTTATTATATATGACCTATGTCGTTACTCAAATATCTAAGGAGTACGTGGCTTACATTTGGTAATTTTAAACTTCAAAGCATTTGAATAAGATAGCTTACACATTCAATTAGTTTAATGTAGCTTTTATCCAATATTGCATCTATTTGTTTTACAGAACATTTGATAGTGTTAAACTTCAAAGTGTTGAAATTAGTTAAATTTTTTAACTGGAATTTACTGACAGCTTAGAATGTTTCTGGGGTTTAATAAATAGTTTATAAGTGGTTGAGAGTGATGGATTCACTGAATCTATTTTGATAGCTGAAGTATGTTATATTATTTCATATCTAAAGTTTGTGATTCATTTAGGTTCAGACCAAACTAAATGATCTTCAATTGTCATTTTTCATTCGGCTTGTATAAGAAAGGTCCATGACAGGGTTATATGTGCATCTTGATCTAAGGAGACATCTGACTCGAGCTAGTTACATACTCAGAAAATACTAGGAAACATACTTAGATCATACAAAGATAACTTAAAATTTTAATAATTGATATTCACAGTTTTTATCCCACTCCTTGCTATTCTCACCTTGTTTTTAATCCACCCACATTGAAATTAATATCCTTTTTATGCCAGTACTTGTGAGTGGGCAAAACACATTGAAACCATACTGACATATGCTATATTACACACACAGGCACATGTACATGTGTACCGATATAAGCAAGTTATGATGCTGTCTTGACCTTGTCTGTGTGATCATACCAATCTTAAGGAGGCATTGTAGCAAGAGTAATGTTTCCATAGAAATAATGGTGATAGACAAAGTTGGTGTTGAGATGTCCAAGCCTAACCTCAAAAACTGGGCCTCTGAGCCTGAGGTAATTATACACCATTCATCTATTGTATTACAAAAAATATTAAAAACATTATTTAGTTATTACTCTTCGATTTTTGTTCATGATTGCATAAACATTAGCCATCCATTACTTATTCCCTGTGAATGAACCGCCATACTGCAATAAACCCTCTCTGGTTACTGTGAATTAGCAATACGATTAACTTTTTTTAAAGCTATTTAAGCTTATCTTTATTTTATTACCTATTCGTTCAGATACAACTATAAGTTCATTGTTGGTGGACAATGGAGGCACTCATCAGGATTACCAACTGAAACAGATGAACATGGAAATGTCAACAATGTAATTAGAGTTGGTGATGTTGCTCGCATTAAACCTGCTCCTACTCAGCTACAGGTAAAGGTAAGTTACTTAGTTGAGTTTCAACATGGAAATGCCAACATAATTTTGATATGTGTTGTTTCTGTCACTTGAATTTCATGTTCGATATATCTTTCTAGTCATTTTGATCACGACACAACTTTATATAAAATCATTCTTTATTTTCTCATGATTTATATGATAGTGCCAGTTGCATTTCATACTTTTAATCTGAAAATTGCCTAGTGTAACATTACTGTGAACTTCAATAAACATTATCTCTAGTAAGCCGAAGTTATAAGAAAAAAAGGGTCATGTCATCTTAGCATTTGCCATGAAAGTAAAGTTTGTCATGGTGCATGAAACAAATTTTGAAAGATGTCCAACAGTTCTGACTTGTTTTATATGACAAACTGACAAATAATGTCAGCCCTTTATGGGTTGGTGCCAATTTCCTTCTAGATGCTATTCTGAGAGGAATAGGATCCTGCATAATACTATTCTGGACAGTTGTCTTCCATTTTTATAGTTTAAGTTTGTGCAAACAAGTACCCTGTAGATTTCCCAATATCAGAGATTCTGATGAGGAAGAGGATTTTTTAAATGTTTGGAATCACAATCTTCCCTCAGGCACAAAATATGTCAAAGAACTAAAAGGAAACATATTCCCAAAGAATTGATAGTCAAAAAACTGTAACAATATTTTAGTTTATTATTGAAAGTATTGGTTATGACCATAATGTCAATAGTCACTTTGAGGGAAGTACCTACTTTTACAAACAGCTACTTCATGAAGGACATCACAAAAGGTTGTCAACGCGTTACGTTTCTTTTTCTGACGAATCCGTGGAGATACGTTTTCCCTTTTATAATAAAATTTATATACATGTTGAAACAAATATTACAAGTAATGTGTGGAAAAAAGGACTAGTGTGAACTATCAATCAAGGTAAGGTGCAGACTGGTAAATATTTCTACATGATGACCTAAGATGAGCTGTTAACTTCCTGTTTATAGTTCAACCAGAAAACTGAATTGCTTTTGATATCATATGAGCCAAACTTCATGTCTTCATGAGTCGCTGCTGTCCTTATTTCTAGTGAATACTCCGTCTTCATACGTGAAATCTTCATGGTACATACTCAAAGAGGGCTTCATCCAAAATTTTCCCAAAAACCAAGACTCTAGGAAAATAAAAATATAAACATTCTATTTGACTTCATTAGCTAGAAGGGTGACATTTATAATATTAGAACTTATTACTACATATAAAAGAGCCTAACAACTCAATTTGGTTTTCGCCAGAGCTGCCTGCTTCACCTAGCAGCTCAAAAGTTTCATATCATACTCTATTAAAAAGTGGCTAGCGAGCACCTCTCTGCTTGTTTGTTTTGTGTCATCCTACATATTTGTTGGTGGTTTTGTGGAGCCAGCTTCATTTCCGCAACATTTCCGCAATATATGGTGGGCCTCCCTTAGGAAAGTAGACACTAATATGCAGTTAAAACAAAATTTTTTGACCGCCTACATCCTAAGATCCATACGTAGAAGAAGATCCAAGATAAAAATTACCTGAAGCGTGCAGATAAATAACAAAGACTTGCGTACTCGTTGAGATGTTGCGCGACAATTGAAGCGACGCCTCTACTAGTATCCACACGAACTTGTTGGAACTCTGCACGTCAGTGTGCTAGCACTTTGAAGACGACAGCCTTTGGAGTTTCTCTCTCCCTCACGATTTCAGAAGCACGGTGGGATAATCAAAAAAGGTCCATCCCATGCCCCTTTTTATAGGGCTGTGAGGTAGTTTCTCAAACCGTAAAGAGATCGGGATTCCAATCAGACGGTTTCTCAAAATATAATTTGTTCAAATCATATATTTAAACCGTGATTGATCATATCAATTTGATTGCTAGGAGATAGGTTCATTGAACTTGGTCAGTATTTCTTTCAAACGTGATTAATCAAATCAATCCTTATCCAATTACTCAATAGCTTCACAACTAATCATATCTCTATATGACTAAATTTATGCGGGCTTTCTTAATAATGTTTCAACATGTTCTTATGTGCGACCCAATAGGTTCACACGATGTTGGTAGTGAGGCAAAATACTTTTTCGGCCCACAAGTCATAAGTGGGCCCTAGCAGGACATTATGACTACCCAAATCATGTAAAGGTCATCTCAGACGAAACCTAGTTCACAATGGACATATGTCGGTCTCTTCATCACTAGATATCTTGATTGAACTCAAGGCAGGAAGCGTGTCAACCTTATACAGTTCAACCTTTAATTTCTCGCACCTGAAGTTAGACTGACTTCTCAATAGTTGACTCTCAACTAATTAGGCATGGCCATGCACTTGCTCAGTCTATCTTTTTCGAGGGGCCCAAAGATATCATACTCTCATTTATATGATAAATGTGAGGGACAAATTCCATCTTGACCATTCACATCCCTCTGCATGATTCATAGCATACACAAGTGATACCTTTATTATTATCTGTTTAGGGAAAACGTTTGGTAACATCAAAGTATACAATCCTCATGTAAGAAACCGTGATAATCTCAGGTCAAAAGACCGAATATAACCACTGTATGAAACCTACTGATGACACATAATCCATGCAGTGTTTCATAGCGGGTCAGTCCAGTATCATGTTCAACATATACCCATGTGATTGACTTGATATCTCATATCCATGATCCGTGAAACATGATCATCAATCAATGATTGACTTGATATCTCATATCCATGATCCGTGAAACATGATCATCAATCAATCCACATACTGCCTATAAAATCATTAGTAACATGATCATCAATCAATCCACATACTGCCTATAAAATCATTAGTGTCCCAACCAATGAAAAAAGACAAGGACTACTTAGAATAACATCATAATCTAATTACAGAGTTTCACATTCAAGTCACATACTTAACGATCCATAATAAGTGATTTATTCAAGGGACCGAATAACAGATTATTCATAGAAGTTGCATAAATATAAATTAAACACAATCATCTCTATGATTGGTCTCTAGGGCATATCATACTAACACCCCCTGGACACGTAGAGGTGGATATATAATTGGTTGGCTATATGTTAAAAAGACTTGCTAGCGTACTACTAAATAGGAACTAATTATTAGTTTAAATTTTGATTTAATTAACCAAACAATATTATATGCAACTAAACCATTACCTGTGTGCAGTTGGAATACATAGATGATGTCGTGGCAATGCTTTTTTATATTTGCTTTGCTTAAGCTTGACGAACGTATTAAAGGTTTCTTTTTTCAAACCCCAAGCTTTACCTCTATTTTTAATTGTGAACAGAAGATATATAGAAAATTATATATTTCTCAAACATTATGAGTGAAAGAATGCTAATTGGAGCTCATAAACGTATATTGATGAATAAAACAATTCTGCAAGTACTTTTTATCACATGCTTATAGGTATTTTTCGGTAAAATGGATCCAGATGTATTATATGTTATTCACTAGCTAAAGCCGTGATATGAATTTAACAAAAAATCTAATAGACTGGACAAGGTATGAAAGTTAAATGTGCTTGGAACTTTATAGTATCACGGATCGAAGTTTTAGGTACCGAAGTGTTAAAGAAACATTTTGAGACATCAAAGTGGAAAGGTGCCAAAGCTTTAGGTACCAAGGTGAAAATAAGCCACGAGAAAGTCTTTTTTGACAGTAGTACCATTAAATCAATTAAATTACTATTAGGTCCCTGACATCGTCTATGTTATTTTTAAATTAATCCCCTAAATTATTGAAAGTGCTATTAGGATCTCCAATTTTTAAGTTATGTTAAAATTAAACCTGCAAACTAAGAGTAGAATTAGCAATTAGACTAATAGAAATTTGAGTGCACGACAACTGAATAGAGCAGGCATGTTGCACGTGCGCTCCATACTGGTATGTCTTTACTGGCTTGAGTATATATGGAAAATTCTCGACGCAATCTTTATCCACCCACATAGTTGGCTCATGCATCAAAAACCAGTATTAGTTTTCATGTGTGGATATCTATTTAGTTTGTTTGATCTGTAGTTTCTTATATGTATCATCATGTGTGAAATCAATTACAGGATCCAACAGTTGTTAAGGTGATAGAACGACAACTGACTGAAGACGAAAGGTTCCTGTTAGCTTTTGCAGCACGTCGGATTGCATTTTCTATCTGCCCAGTCAAGCTGACTCCGAAATAGATGAATAGGACGCGTCAACTTGTATCTCCTTCTCATTGTCCGGGGGGCGGTCTTGCGACCGACTGAAAATGCATGTAAGTTAAGCATTTGTATTAATGGGGCCAAGAAACTGTAAAACTCATCTGTATTTTCAATAAAATTTGGGGCAATTAATTTTAAATTAAGGGTTAACAGACTCCCCGTGGTATCACTTAATTGCAAAGAGACTTATTATAGTTCTATTTGTTGCGAATAGTCCCCCTATGGTCTCCTTGTTGCAAATAGACAGCTCGAGTGAAAATTTTTGGCTCTTAAAATTGTTTGAAATGTTTGAGAAGGTGGATAGACCCCCTATAGGTCGAGTGGTGAGGATAGACGCCCAATTGTTAACTTTTTGACTTTCAAAATAGTCAAAAGAGTTCACTATAGAATGGTGTATTCACGCTTGGGCTAATACTGCAGAGAGTATTCACAAGAAGTAGAGCTATATGGGTCAATATGCGATAAATAGAAGTATAGGGGTGTCTTTGCAATTTAGTGATACTACAGGGGTCTGTTTGCAATTAACCCTTAAATTAATAAAGCACCTTCTTGATCAAAAGTGTCGCAGGGACCTGAATCTTTTCTACTGCTAGTTTGCTTGATGTGGGTGAATCTCTTGTGAGGACTTGACCTTCAGATAATAATCTTTTGATAAGTTTCTGTCCTAAGCTTACGAGTGCTGGAGTTGAATGCTCTTATTCAAATGAGCAGCGCTATTTGGCTCGCGCTTTAACGCGTGAGCCAACGCGCACANTGCGTGCGCGTTAAAGCGCGAGCCAAACAGCTTTTTCGTATTCAAATAGACATGTACTGAAAGTATCATTAACTTATTTACAAGGCTATTGTATTCAGGACTCGAATGAGAACAGTATTGTATTGCCAGCTAATCTAAGCTTAAGTACAGAAGTATCATTAACTTTCAGTAATCTTTTAGTAAATTATACTGATTATTTTTCTGTTTATAAAATACTGATTATTTTTCAGTTTATAAAATAATATAATTTTTGTTGCAATTTGAACTACAACCGTTGTGAAAAAAATGGAAATAATTAATGTGATATCAGGACAAGTTCCACTCCGTCCAAAATCCAAGAATTAAATTGAACATGTATTAGATTTTGATGCTTAAATTCCTCCAATGTTCTGATACAGAAAGCAATCTTTGTAATAATTTTCTATACAATCAGAGTTTTTAGCAATATGAATGAGTCATTCACTTATGTAAATATCGCTTCATCACCAAACTTTCAGCAAAAATGAGAGGCCCCTCAGTTCACTCAGTCTGTCGAATGTTTTCTTTGAACAAGATCATGGTACTTTGGAAAGAATAATGTTTGAACAACCGAATAAAGAAAATATGGGAAAAGAGCCGAGATGACGGCCAGGAGAGTGGTAAGCCAATATTGAGGGCTCGAGGCACCAACTTCAAGAAACACCATATATGCTGTTGTGGATACAAACGGAGGCAATAGCCCATAAATCACCGCAAATACATACCAGAAACCAATGCTAACCCAGATAACAAGGTGCTGAATCCATGTGAAATAACTGAGATAAAGAGCCATTTGGCAGTTCACTGTCCAAACAACACAGCCATACATTGTGACACCGAGGAGATCAATTCCTGCCACTCGACCATCATTTCTGAAAGCCTGATCAAGGATCGAGTTGCTCGTCAAGTAGAAGATTATGACAGAACTCAAGACTCCGTTGATCATCCAACGAAGTATCCGCAACCAGCTAAAGAAAACATTGTGCACACCATCCTGGTGTAGTATTGGGAACTGTAAGCAAAAGAATAGGTTATTTCTTCAAGAACATCATGATAACACTACCAGAGAAAAGGAAATGAACTTTACATTCATCTGGCAATTTTGGACTTAGATGCATTCAAGGTTTTAAATATCAGTTATCAGGGATTTATCGGACGGTGAAAGTCCATATCGGATAGTGGATATTGGAGATATATCGGGGGTAAGTAGTATTTATCGGAATGACTTTATCGGATGGTGATATACATAATATAATATTCTAAAATGTATTTATCAGAGTGACTTTATCGGATGATGATATACATAATATAATATTCTAAAATGCAATCTAACCATACTAAATGAAATATAAATATACCAAAATGTAAATAATTATGTTTAGCATTATTAACTAATGGAAGAAACTTGGGTCGGGTCGGGTCGGGTTTAAAGCGCATTGAATAGGTGTCCATTGCCCGAAATCAAAACTCAAACCAAAGATCGATAATTCCGATTTTTGGGTCGACAATATCGACCGATAACTCACTTTATCGCTGCATTATCGGCGATAAACATCCAAAAATGACAACCAATTTAGAATCGAACTTATCATAGCGGAAAGCCCCCCAAAACCGATAAATCGTAGATAATATCAATTTATCGACCGATATTTAAAACATTGGATGCATTCGCGTGTTAAAATTGTTGAATAGCATACTGAAAAGGATAGAGCTTGCAAGTCAGAGAACACTAACAGAACCAAAAAAGAAATGACACCATCATTCATGTTACCAACTAAGAGATCTGGAACAGAAAGTAAATTGGAACTTCAATGTAAAATCTGGCATAGCCTCACTAGAGAAACTACATCATAAGACTACACATTTTAGAGGAGTTTATCCTGAATCACCTTTTGCAAGAAGAAAGTTCACTTACTGATTGATGACTGCTCAACTAACTTGTGGAGTTCGTTGCCAGACTCAGAATCTTGCTTACACTGATTTTGCAAAACTATGGATTTTGGAAATTAAGCAGGAGGCCCCTTAACCTAAGGAGCTCGGAAGCTATGGATGATAAGAAATCTAGATCCGAAGGCCTCTTATCCAACAAACATAGGAGGCCATGAGCAATAAGAAAACCAAGTTCAAAGACCTTTTATCCAATGGACCTCAAGCTCATGCTCCAAAGTTCAGGTTGAAGACCTTTTACCTAACCGGATCTCGGAGGTCATAGGCTACAGAAAATGCTACAGAAAATCAAGGTCCAGAGGCCTATTACTTGATAGACTTTGAAGGTCAAAGGCAACAAAATCGAGGTCAATGGACTCTTACCTAATGGACATCATACGCCATAGGAGATAGAAAATCCAGGCTCGGAGACTTGTTACCCACTAGGCTTCTTGGGTTTTAAACTGTGAGAAATTGGGATTCAGATCCTCTCTACTGCCAAAAAGTAGTGGACAAACGACTACTTTTACCATAGCCATTGATTTATTTTAGTGCGCGGTTGTGATGTCTTTAATTGTAAATTATGAATGAGTGCAACTCATAGAGGATATACTGAATATTAGACTTAGAATGAATCATAACCATCATTAGACAAATCTAACAGCTATGATAAAAACAGGGATCTCTCCATTACTTGCTGGTAATGTAGAGGATCCAAATCCGTGATAGCGTAGGTTCATAGACTTCTTATTCACTAGTCACATAGGAATGTGGGCAATGAGAAAGCCTAGGTGCGGAGACCTCTTATCCACTAAAGTCCCTTGGGCTGGGCCATAGATGATGACAAAGCTCAAGTCTGGAGATCTCTTACCCCTAGGCCCCCTCAACAATGTACGTGAGAACTGGAGACACCTACTAAGTTCTAGGACTATGGACAATAAGAATTTGTGCTCTTAATTGCTTCTTCCAAATTGAAATCTTAGGTCATTAATTAATCCAACTTTTGTCACACAATAGAATGACTTACATTCTATATTCTATTAACGATGAGAGTTCAAATATGCATAAATACATTCAAAAACAAAAATACAACAGAAAGAAAACAACTAAGCTCTATTTATTGATAAAACTCCCTCAAGTCTGCTGTTTTCTGCATTTGAGGCAGTAGTTCTTCAAGGTGAGCTTGTAAGTTTTTTTTCCGCCAATTACTTTGAGATAATCTTGTAAGATCCTTCCTATTGGGGTCATCTTCCCACCTACCAGAGGCCAATTTATCATATTGTTCTATCAAATTACAAGATCTTTGGCCTTAAAACACACTTATTAACTCCGCATTGCTCCTCATATCTAGGTTTCAAGAAGACTTGTTTGCAAATCCTAACAAAGGTCACTTGTACGTTATTGGTCTCTCTAATTCATTTCAGGGAGGCCCCTTCAATACCTTTTATAGCTTTTTTGGCTCGATGAAATTGTAATACCAGTGTCATGATCTTGTGTGATCACCTTTTGACTTCTTCCATCTGTAAGGAACAAGAAATTTTTCCATCAAGCTGTAAATTGATACAATTAAAACTAGGTCTCTCAATAATTATCTCGCCGATATTGCTTATTAAGCTAATGATATATCCACCACTAAAGAGTCCATGATGCCGGTGATGTTCTCTGAGATTGTCTCAGTTGCGATTAACAATCGACCTCTCATTAATATAAACAACAAATGGACTACATTATGGTTTGAGGGTGGACTCATTTTCATGGATAACTTGTATGTCAGAATGTCTATTGGACTTTCCACATCAAGCACCTTATAGACTATGTATGCCACTAATCTCTGACTAGAAAATTATAGTTATTGTAAGATTCATTTTCTTGGATTACTTATTCGTCAGAATGTCTGTTGAACTTTCCATGTCAATCGCTTTATAGACTGTACTCTCTAGTCTCCAACTAGATAATGGTAAAGTTATTTTAAGAGAACTATGTAGCATGAGTACTTCTAATATGAAGTCATACCCATACCTTGACACACTTACACCAGACATCATCACTTTCTTGCATGCTCATTGGATATGTGTATAGACTTATTGACATTTGTTCTCGATTATATAATATATCTTTTAATTTTAATCATGATATATTGGACATATAACCTACACTTCATATACACTTCTGTATATGTACCTATTTTTGTTTATACACCATGAATATAGTGGAAAATGCTAGAAAATATTGACTTGTATAAAACTAAGTTTAAATAATGTCTAATATTTTATATAAAACTGAAGAGCAAAGTCATAAAAATGTATGATAGTTTAAAAGAATTAGCATGCTAATATTTATATATTTTACTAGCATCATTGCATGTTCAACAAATTCTAGCTTTCTGCTTCCATATAAAAAGGGGCACTTTAATACCGTAACTTTTCATTAGTTTTTGTAAAAAATTTATAATATTTGTTATTTAAGATGTATGATGGTTTAAAAGAATTAGCACGCTAATATTTATATATTTTACTAGCATCATTGCATGTTCAACAAATTCTAGCTTTCTGCTTCCATATAAAAAGGGGCACTTTAATACCGTAACTTTTCATTAGTTTTTGTAAAAAATTTATAATATTTGTTATTTAAGATGTGATCTTTTATCATACATTATATGGAATTGGCTATGACATATATTTCAATTTGATTGATCATTTTTCTAGATAATGTTATAAAGAATAATCTTTTAAATGTTTTCCATGTATTATATTTAATTGTTTTCAAGCTAAGAATTTAGAAATACTATACTGGTAATATTTACACTGGAAAGCATTGGAATTCTAACTATTGTCCCTTATAATTTATTTTTATATATTTTTGGAAATAACCTTATTATTCCATATTTGTGTCCCTACTAATATACACTATAATAGTCATTAGTTACTGAGCTGTAACATATGTTCATGTCATGTTTTAGAAAGTTCTACAAAGAAAAAAAAGAAAGATATAAGAAAAGGAAAAAAAATGTCTTCTATAAAATTACAAAATGACATAGGTTATTTATTTATTAATTATTTAGATATTTTATAAATACAAACTATTCATAATGATTTTAATAATCAGAATCATCAAGAATTTTCAAATATGAAGGAGGGCAAGAAGAGTTGCAGGAGCCAGGATTTAGAAGACTTTATCTTCATCAAAAGGAGTTAAGATTAGAGCTGGAGAGACATCGGAGGTGGATGTAGGTCTATGATTTTCTTCATCGATGGAGATAAAGGACGAGAAGAACCTTGTTATTGGCGAGAGGCTTCGTCTTCATCAAAGGCGTGAGTAGAAGAAGAGATTGAGAGGCTTCTTCATCAAAAGAGAGAGGATGTGGAGGGGGAGGATATGATGGAAGCAGTAGAGGTGGGTCCGAGGATCGCTAGGGCTTTTAATACGAATGAAATTGGGGCCAGGAGATTCAGTTGGGAACTAATTTTGGTAGCGTGATACTCGTTTGAACGGTAGAAATATTACCACGAGTCCAAATCTGATCTTCAATTTAACTAAATTTAACCAGTGTTAACTAATGATTAACGTAACACAAATAAAACACAATTTTTGGTGCTATTTTCTACGTTAAATGCAACATAGGCTTTGTACCTAAGTTATATAACATTTTTTCTCTATTACGTGTTCAAACAGGTTGAAAAGAGTTCCAAAACGGGGTTTTTCTATATTGGTTATAGGTTGTAGCCCCACTCTTTAGTAGTTCTTTGTTTTACTTTAGTTTGACATTTCTAATATAGTTATCTTGTTATAGGTTCCATATCTAAGTAAAATATTTTGAGTTTGTAATAAACTAAATTTATACAATTAAAATATAAGGTTTCCCCCCTGAAAAACATCTTTAAAATAAGTTCATTCTATAGAAACCGTCTTGTTAATGTATACATAAACCACCTTCAAATGATTTTTTTGTTGCAATCAACCATCCAAACCCACTTTTTAGTTAAGTTTTTTTGGTATTGTTGTTTCGGGTTTTAAAATTATAAACAACTCAAGGTTACAATCTCAAGGTTACAAAGAAACAAGAAATTTTTTGAGTTGGGTTCTTTT